ATACAGGAGCCCACGGCAGCAGGAGATGAGGGGGGGCCAGCTGTAGGGGGGCATGATACAGGAGCCCACGGCAGCAGGAGATGAGGGGGGGCCAGCTGTGGGGGCATGCATACAGGAGCCCCACGGCAGCAGGAGATGAGGGGGGGCCAGCCGTGGGGGGAGCATACAGGAACCCATGGCAGCGGGAGATGAGGGGGGGGGGGGCAGCCTGTGGGGGGCATGATACAGGAGCCCATGGCAGCAGGAGATGAGGGGGGGGCCAGCTGTAGGGGGCATGATACAGGAGCCTACATGGCAGCAGGAGATGAGGGGGGGCCAGCTGTAGGGGGGCATGATACAGGAGCCCATGGCAGCAGGAGATGAGGGGGGGCCAGCTGTAGGGGGGCATGATACAGGAGCCCATGGCAGCAGGAGATGAGGGGGGGCCAGCCGTGGGGGGAGCATACAGGAACCCACGGCAGCAGGAGATGGATCAGAGGGACGGCCGGGCAGCACATAGAGGAACCGGTCCCACACATTTCTCTGCTGCCGCCACTGAATGCCTGCAGGAGGGAGAGGTGGAGAAGCATTCAGTGGCGGCAGGAGGAAATGCGCGGACCGGTTCCTCTATGTGCCGCCCCTCCGATCCAGGTGGTCCCGGCCTGTAAAGAGAGATTTCCAGCAAAGAGAATTGCGATCAGGAACGTGCACCGGAAGAGCTGCCAGTTATGCGCATGCGTGCAGGAATGCACAATCGCGCACATGCATGGCGAAGATTGCCGCCAGATGGGCTATTTAAAGAGGGCCTCTGCTCTGGTTCAGTGCTGAGTGGTCTTCAGCTCCCCCCGTGTTCTGCTTGTTCCGTACAAATCCTTGTTCCTGACCCGATTCTGATTGCTCTCCTCCTCCTGGCTCCTGACTTCGGCTTTTCCCTCTGATTCTGTACTGCGCTGCCCGACTGTTGATGACCCCGGCTATCCTATGACCCCGCTCCTGTCCTGTGTCCTGGCTACCTACCTTGCTCTGCTGCACATCGGGCATTACACAGAACCTGCCCTGTCTGCTACTACGGTGCCCAAATCAGAGGATCATCAGCCTACCAAGGTCATCATCTGCAAGAGCCGCAAGCAACAACCACTGGCGCTCTTGTCCCCCTGGTCCCCAGACTCCCTCTGTTCCAACCTCAGCGGGGTCAGGGCTAGTGACACAAGTGAGGCCGACCTCGTCATTTCAGTCTATCAGGTACGTGACACGGCCCTCCAGGCAAATGCCCGATGTGCCCTGTGGCCAGTCCAGGCCTGGCTGTACATTGTATCTGCAGCACATTAATAGAATACAAGATTTTCGCTTCGATGAAAAGATACAAGAAAAGCTGCGATTTGGGTCTCACCTTCCCTCTGCATTTCCAGCGCCTGGTTCCTGGCCTGGATATCAGCCAGCTGTCGGTCATGAGCTTCCGCCATCTCCAGCATGCGGTCCCGGAACTCCCGGTCCCACTGAGAATAAAGACCGGACTCCCCCTATAGGACAACAAAGCAGGGTCAGGGATCGGGAGGACCCAAAGAGGCCCTGTCACCGGACCACTCGTGCCACCGGACCACTCAGGCCACCGGACCACTCGTGTCACCGGACCAGGCCACCGTGCCACCAGGTCACCGGACCACTCAGGCCACCGGACCACTCAGGCCACCGGACCACCCAGGCCACCGGACCACTCAGGCCACCGGACCACTCAGGCCACCGGACCACTCGTGTCACCAGCAATCTCCCTATAGGATTATATGTACATTGAATGCTTTTTATACATAAAAGTAAACTCCTCCCTCCTATAGACACCCAAAACGACCTGAGAATGCTCCTGGGTGTCGCCATGTTGAATGTGATGTCAGCAGCCCCAGCGGACTCAACGCTCTCACTAGAGGGACACGTTCTGGTATTTCCCCTTCACTCCACCCCACCCCAGTGGATATATAGAAGGTTGTGTAGGATGGATACGGGATGGCTGGAGGAGCTGGGCCAGCACAGGCAGTAATTAAACACAGTGGGGGGGCCCAAAGTATACAGACCACGTGGGTGTGCTTTGCATACCAAATGTCCGCCATTGGTAACGTCCGCCGTGGGACAATATCTCTGTATCCACTATTGACGTATGGCGCCGTGTATACTGCCCCGCCTACAATGACATCATATCTACAGCCGGAATGTTCCGTCGGCATTTGGTGGTGATGACATCATATCTACCGGAATGTTCCATCGGAATTTTGGTGGTGATGACATCATATCTACAGCCTGGAATGTTCCGTCGGAATTTGGTGGTGATGACATCATATCTACAGCTGGAATGTTCCGTCGGAATTTTGGTGGTGATGACATCATATCTACAGCTGGAATGTTCCGTCGGCATTTGGTGGTGATGACATCATATCTACAGCTGGAATGTTCCGTCGGCATTTGGTGGTGATTGTCTTTGTGTCACTATAAATATATTTTCTAGTGCTGTACGATGGAAGCCCCTCCCCCCTCCTCCGCCCCCCCCCCCCCCCCCCATGTGCTCATCATTACCTGGAAGGAGCGCAGCGTGGGGACAGAGACTTCCAGAGATTTCCGCAGCTTCTGGAACTGGAAGAGAAGTAGAAATGTCAGGGATCAGGAGTGTGCAGTCTGGTCTGCGGGGTGACAACATCCCCATCACTTCCTACACGACGCTGATCAATGAAGAGGAACGTCCCTCTCCCTGTCAGCAGGGACCCCCGTGATCCTCATCCCGCCACCACGGACCCCCCGTGATCCTCATCCCGCCACCACGGACCCCCCGTGATCCTCATCCCGCCACCACAGACCCCCCGTGATCCTCATCCCGCCACCACGGACCCCCCGTGATCCTCATCCCGCCACCACTGACCCCCCGTGATCCTCATCCCGCCACCACTGACCCCCCGTGATCCTCATCCCGCCACCACGGACCCCCCGTGGACCACAGACATCTCGTGATCCTCATCCCGCCACCACGGACCCCCCGTGATCCTCATCCCGCCACCACGGACCCCCCGTGATCCTCATCCCGCCACCACAAACCCCCCGTGATCCTCATCCCGCCACCACAGACATCTCGTGATCCTCATCCCGCCACCACGGACCCCCCGTGATCTTCATCCCGCCACCACGGACCCCCGTGATCCTCATCCCGCCACCACAGATCCCCCGTGATCTTCATCCCGCCACCACGGACCCCCCGTGATCTCATCCCGCCACCACGGACCCCCCGTGATCTTCATCCCGCCACCACGGACCATCCCGTGATCCTCATCCCGCCACCACGGACCCCCCGTGATCCTCATCCCGCCACCACGGACCCCCCCTGATCCTCATCCCGCCACCACAGACATCCCGTGATCCTCATTCCGCCACCGCGGATCCTCATCCCGCCACCGCGGACCCCCCTGTGGTCCTCATCCGCCACGGACCCCCTGTGGTCCTCAATCCGTGACCCCCCTGTGGTCCTCAATCCGCCACCGCGGATCCCTCAATCCGCCACGCGGACCCCCCTGTGGTCCTCAATCCGCCACCGCGGACCCCCCTGTGGTCCTCAATCCGCCACCGCGGACCCCCCTGTGGTCCTCATTCTATCACCACATGACCCCTTTGATCCTCATCCCTCCACCACGGACCCCCTGTGATCCTCATCCCTCCACCACGGACCCCCTGTGATCCTCATCCCACATAGAGAGGACCGGAGAGACGACTTGCTGGGTTATACCTTTTTATTACAGTGACTGCCTGGTTTCTGGCCTAGGCTACAATGATGTCACACATCCCAGGAGACTGCAGGAGAGGAGGAGGGGCTTTCTCAGCTAAGCACACCCTCCTGCCTACATGCCTGACCTAAGGACAGATGGATTCCAGGAAGTAAATGCTACAGGAGTTATCTGCCCTTACTCAAGATGGCTGACACTAGAAATGCTAGGGGAGGGGTTTGTCATGGATCCCCCACACACCACGCCCACAGCGACTAGCTAACCGAGGTGTGGCTGTGACTTGGGGTACGAGGGAATAAAGGGGACTGAACTCTGATATATAAACCGTATATAAGAGACCAGCCGTGATATCCTCCCACAGCTGCACTACCTCTGCCCACCACGGGGGGAGACTCCACTCCAATCCAGAGGGCTGACCACACACTGCAGATACAAATCTTACATACAATCTGGTGCACTGATTAGAGTTGAGGAGCAGCTTAGTAATCACACCCTTCTAGAGTCCCTCCAGCTATCCTACAGCTTGAACCCCGATGTTATCACCCTTCCACTGTCCACACCCCCCCACACCAGACACACCCCTCCCCCACACACCCCCCCCCACCAGACACACCACACAAACGGTACCCTGCCACCACCCAACAGTTTAACCGCAGAACGGTCTGCTGGGACACCCCACACACACACAAACTGAATGGGTGTGACCCGAGCCTTAGAACATCCCCCCCCCCCTCCCCCCCCACAAAAAATGCATTATATTGCAGCTTATCAGTCCTTAAATGTGGCGGCTGCATTCGTTTTCTTTATTTAGACTTCACTTCCCTTTTATTCTCACCTGGAGATCCTGCCAGAAACACACTTCCTGTCCCAGGGTGACAACGCTCGTTGTATTGTATCAATGGGGAAGGAGCGTTGTCACCCTAGGCTGCTCTCCTGATCTGGACTACAAACACCTCCCCCTCTCCTCATCTCTGGTATGTGGGGGGGGGGGGGGGGGGGACCGGAAAGACAAACTATCAGCAGATTAAACTTTGTCTCTAAAGTGGAACTCCAACCACAAAATACTGATAACATTTTAGTTGAAGCCGAGTTTTTCAGACGTTGATTGCAGCGTTGTCACCGTCCGCCATCTGCCCCGCCCCCAAATCCGCAGCACGATTTATTGTTGGGATGTGAGAGGCAGCGGACAGAAGACGCGCGGGAGGGAACTACAACCCCCCTCCCCCATCCACCCACCTCCTCGGTGAGGCTCCTCAATGCCTTGCTGTCACAGACGCCCTCCGGCGCTCCATCGTACCCCCCCACCAGGCGCAGCTCTCTCTCGTTCAGTCGGGTTTCTCGCGCTCTCAGACGGGCGACGCTCTCTCGTGTCTATGGAAGGGAAGAAGCGGTGTCAGTGCTGCTGTTCAGCCAGGGTGCAGATTGTTTATCTGTCTCATCGATAGTTTGTTGCAATTTATCTCCTATGATACAACCCCCCCCCAATATATGTGGTTGCTTCTGATTGGCTGTCCCCCTTTATTACCGTGAAGTCGGGGGTGTGTCGGCCTGTCGCGGCAGCGGGGTGTGGCCCCTGGAGCTGACATAGCGGGAGCGCAGTACAGCGGGGTCCCCGATCTGGCTCCCGATGCAGAACTTCTGGCGGTGCTTCTCCAGCAGAGACGGGGAGCGGAACATCATGTTGCAGTTGTGGCACCGGAGACCCCCGAGATCCACCATGGCTGCCGGGGCACCGGCTCTCTATCCCCACCTGGAGGACAAAGCAGAGAATGCCACACAGTCAGCTGTCTTCCACCACTGAGAATGCCGCTTCCCTGGCTGCTAGGCTCATCCTCTGGCTGCCGACTTTCCTGAACCGTGTATAGTTCCGGGTCGGTTCAGAAGCCGGAGGAGCAACATGACAGGCAGCATTTCCAGACAGAGATGGCAGCTGCCGCTCTCATGGCAAGTGCAGGGGCAGTGCGGGGGTGGTGTGGGGGCGGTGCGGGGGTGGTGTGGGGACGGTGCAGGGGCGGTGTGGGGACGGTGCGGGGGGGGGGGGTGCGGGGGTGTGGGGACGGTGCGGGGGGGGGGCAGTGTGGGGGCAGTGCGGGGGGGGCAGTGTGTGTGGGGGCAGTGCGGGGGGGGCAGTGGTGGGGGCGGTAGGGGGGGGGTAGTCTGGGGGCGGGGGTGTGGGGGTAGTGTGGGGGCGGTGTGGGGGTAGTCTGGGGGGGTGGTGTGGGGGTAGTCTGGGGGTGGTGCGGGGGTCGTGTGGGGGGTAGTGTGGGGGCTGTGCGGGGGCGGTGCGGGGGGGGTAGTCTGGGGGGGGTGGTGTAGGGGTCGTGCGAGGGTGGTGCGGGGGCGGTGCGGGGGTAGTGCGGGGGCGGTGTGGGGGGCTGAACTGAAGATGCCGGCTGCCTGGCTGCCATGGCGCTCCTCTGGATCGCTCAGCAGTCAGGCAGACGGGTTTCTGATCGGCATGTAGATGGGAACAGGAATGCAGCAAGGAAGAGGATCGCCATGACGGCAGTGTATCCAGAAGCCCCGCCCCTTCATGGATCATAATGATAGGAAGCAGAAGAAATGGTTGGGGGCGGGGTCACAGACACGGGCAATGTGGATTGCCTGGCTGTCATGCTGATCCTCTAGTTTCAGTGGCTTTCAGCTGGATAAACATGCATATACGGGTCTCCTGATCTGTGTGGAGAAGCCGGGGGATGGATATGACAGCCGGCATGGATGGAAGGAGGTCAGCACCTGGCAGCCCCCCCCCCCCCACGATAGATGGATGGGAGGAGACTTCCAGGGACACCCAGAGACCCTCCAGAAACCCCCCGAGACCCTCCAGGGACACTCGAGACCCTCCAGGGACCCCCAGAGACCCTCCAGGGACCCCCAGAGACCCTCCAGGGACACCCAGAGACCCTCCAGGGACACCCAGAGACCCTCCAGGGACACCCAGAGACCCTCCAGGGACACCCTGAGACCCTCCAGGGACACCCTGAGACCCTCCAGGGACACCCAGAGACCTTCCAGGGACACCCCGAGACCCTCCAGGGACACTCGAGACCCTCCAGGGACCCCCAGAGACCCTCCAGGGACCCCCAGAGACCCTCCAGGGACACCCCGAGAACTTCCAGGGACACCCAGAGAACTTCCAGGGACACCCAGAGACCCTCCAGGGACACCCCGAGAACTTCCAGGGACACTCAGAGACCCTCCAGGGACACCCAGAGACCCTCCAGGGACCCCCAGAGACCCTCCAGGGACACCCAGAGACCCTCCAGGGACACCCAGAGACCCTCCAGGGACACCCTGAGACCCTCCAGGGACACCCTGAGACCCTCCAGGGACACCCAGAGACCTTCCAGGGACACCCCGAGACCCTCCAGGGACACTCGAGACCCTCCAGGGACACTCGAGACCCTCCAGGGACCCCCAGAGACCTCCAGGGACACCCCGAGAACTTCCAGGGACACCCAGAGAACTTCCAGGGACACCCAGAGACCCTCCAGGGACACCCCGAGAACTTCCAGGGACACTCAGAGACCCTCCAGGGACACCCAGAGACCCTCCAGAGACACCCAAAGTCCCTCCAGAAACCCCCCAGACCCTCCAGGGACACCCAAAGTCCCTCCAGGGACACCCCGAGACCCTCCAGGGACACCCAGAGACCCTCCAGGGACACCCAGAGACCTTCCAGGGACACCCAGAGACCCTCCAGGGACACCCAGAGACCTCCAGGGACACCCAGAGACCCTCCAGGGACACCCTGAGACCCTCCAGGGACACCCTGAGACCCTCCAGGGACACCCAGAGACCTTCCAGGGACACCCCGAGACCCTCCAGGGACACTCGAGACCCTCCAGGGACACTCGAGACCCTCCAGGGACCCCCAGAGACCCTCCAGGGACACCCCGAGAACTTCCAGGGACACCCAGAGAACTTCCAGGGACACCCAGAGACCCTCCAGGGACACCCCGAGAACTTCCAGGGACACTCAGAGACCCTCCAGGGACACCCAGAGACCCTCCAGAGACACCCAAAGTCCCTCCAGAAACCCCCCCAGACCCTCCAGGGACACCCAAGTCCCTCCAGGGACACCCCGAGACCCTCCAGGGACACCCAGAGACCCTCCAGGGACACCCAGAGACCTTCCAGGGACACCCAGAGACCCTCCAGGGACACCGGCACTCACCCCGCTTCTCCGCCTGAAGTTTGCTGGAAGCGTCTCTGGTTTCCGAGGAGACGGCGGGAGGGGGCGGGGCCGGAGTCTGAGGACGTGCAGAGTTCAAGAAGTCCAGGGCGGGAGGTGGAGTCAGCCCGAAACTTTCCGCCAATGGGAGGAAAGACCCCGCCCTATACAAGGAGGACCCCGCCCCGTACCTGGAAGAAACACTGTACCTGGAAAAGACCCCGCCTCGTACCCGGAGAAGAGGCCCCCGCCCCGTACCAGGAGAAGACCCCGCCCCTTACAAGGAGAAGACCCCGCCCCGTACCTGGAGCAGACCCCGCCCCGTACCTGGAAAAGACCCCGCCCCGTACCAGAAGACCCCGCCCCGTACCAGGAGAAGACCCCGCCCCTTACCAGTAGAAGACCCCCGCCCCGTACCTGGAGAAGACCCCGCCCCGTACACGGAGACCCCTTCTCCCTCCATCACCAGGACACTTTTCTCCTATTCAGCACTGCGCTACTTCACCTGGTGATTGTGCAGTGCTGTACCCGGATGACATTTCTATCATTCCTATTGGCGGGATTGGATCACCTCTGGGGGGGGGGGAAGGGGGGTATTTTGATGTTCACCCCCCCCCCCATCCTTCATACATGTAGCTCAGTGTTGGGTAACAAGCGTCCCGCGAAGTGTCTTCATCGTTTGTGAGATCGTCGTCCAATCCGTGGGCTGTACACCGCCATTTTATATACAGGTGATGGTGGTTGTAGTGCGGCGGGCGATCTGACACCACCAGTGACACCAATACAGCGATCAGTGATAATACTATGCAGTGTACTAATGACTCCGGCTGGGAGGGGGGACCTGTGAGGCTCAGCAGCGATTTTGTGTCCCTCTGAGCCGGGTTCACGCTGATGCGCTACGGTACATCGCATGTGACCAGCGACCGTCCCGAATTCCTGCGCGTGTGATTGACCGTCAAACGCCCCACATTCCTGCGCATGTGACCAGCGACCGTCCCCGAATTCCTGCGCATGTGATTGGCAACCGCCCCGCATTCCTGCGCATGTGATTGGCAACCGCCCCGCATTCCTGCGCATGTGATTGGCAACCGCCCCGCATTCCTGCGCATGTGATTGGCAACCGACCCCCGCATTCCTGCGCATGTGATTGGCAACCTGCCCCGCATTCCTGCGCATGTGACCGGCGAATGTCCGGCATTCCTGTGCATGTGATTGGCAACCGCCCCGCATTCCTGCGCATGTGATTGGCAACCGCCCCGCATTCCTGCGCATGTGACCGGCGAATGTCCGGCATTCCTGCGCATGTGACCGGCAACCGCCCCGCATTCCTGCGCATGTGACCGGCAACCGCCCCGCATTCCTGTGCATGTGACCGGCGAATGTCCGGCATTCCTGTGCATGTGACTGAACATCCCGCATTCCTGCGCATGTGACCGGCAACCGCCCCGCATTCCTGCGCATGTGACCGGCGAATGTCCGGCATTCCTGTGCATGTGACTGAACATCCCGCATTCCTGCATGTGACCGGCAACCGCCCCGCATTCCTGCGCATGTGACCGGCAACCGCCCCAAATTCCTGCGCATGTGACCGGCAACCGCCCCGAATTCTTGCGCATGTGACCGGCAACCGCCCCGCCTCCTGCGCATGTGACCGGCAACTGCCCCGCCTCCTGCGCATGTGACTCTTGGCTGGCTACAAAAAGTGTTTACAAGCTGTGATAGTTGCCAAAGGGGGCAGTACAAGATATTAACTCTGCAGGGGGCCCAAACTTTTGCAGACGCCATTTTTTTGTTTTCTGTTATTTTGAAAGTGTAAATGATGGAAATAAAATCTAACTTTTGTTGACATATTATAAGAATGTCTAATCTGTAATTTGATGCCTTTTGGAGATTTTTCCATCTTTCCTTGGCTTCTTTATGCACATTAATACACATTTTTAGCTGGGGGGCCCAAACTTTCCATCCCCACTGTATGTATATATATATCCCCAAGTATTGGTCGGCCGCGCATGACCTTTATTGCCCCCCCAGTCTTAGTCCGTAGGGTTCAATAGTGAGTTGGCCCCGCCCTTTCCACGCACACGACCTTTAATGGCCCCTCCCAGTCTTAGTCCGTAGGGTTCAATATTGAGTTGGCCCCGCCCTTTTCACGCACACGACCTTTAATGGCCCCTCCCAGTCTTAGTCCGTAGGGTTCAATAGTGAGTTGGCCCCGCCCTTTCCACGCACACGACCTTTAATGGCCCCTCCCAGTCTTAGTCCGTAGGGTTCAATAGTGAGTTGGCCCCGCCCTTTCCACGCACACGACCTTTAATGGCCCCTCCCAGTCTTAGTCCGTAGGGTTCAATAGTGAGTTGGCCCCGCCCTTTCCACGCACACGACCTTTAATGGCCCCTCCCAGTCTTAGTCCGTAGGGTTCAATAGTGAGTTGGCCCCGCCCTTTCCCACGCACACGACCTTTAATGGCCCCTCCCAGTCTTAGTCCGTAGGGTTCAATATTGAGTTGGCCCCGTTCTTCGCCACGACACACGACCTTTAATGGCCC